CTTTCTTTCTCCTGCTTTGGAGGGGTAGATTCTGATGAAACATTAGGAAGAACTTTCTGACAGTTAGAACTATTTGACAGTGGGAGGGACTCCCTCGAAAAGGTGGCAGACTCTCCCTCATTCAGGGCCGGATTTAGGTTTGATGAGGCCCTAAGATACAGAAGGTAATGGGGCCCTTTATATGTCCTGCTGTCCTTCGTCAACAACAAATTGCCACTTTTTTTGTGTTGAATATATGCTATATGGTAATTTATGGAGCTAATAGGTCCAACACAACACAAAACACTGTTGCTGTTTGTAGGTTTTATTTTACTTGTTTCTATCTTATATTGTGGAAATGTACATTCAGGGTTTTTTCCCCTTTAAATTTTTGGGGCCCCCAAGAGAGTGGGGCCCTAAGATATATCCTGTTTAGCTTATACATAAATACGGCACTGGCCATAAGGCATAAAGCATATATGCCATAAGGCAATAGGCATATATGCCATGTGGAATAAGGGATTAGGCATACAGTATACACGATAAGGCATAAGGCATATAAACCGTAAGGCATAAGGTATTAGGCATACAGTATATGCCATAAGGCATAAGGCATATAAACCATAAGACATTAGGCATACAGTATATGCCATAAGGCATAAGGCATATAAACCATAAGGCATAAGGGATTAGGCATACAGTACATGCCATAAGGCATAAGGCATATAAACTGTAAGGCATAAGGGATTAGGCATACAGGATATGCCATAAAGCATAAGGGATTAGGCATACAGTATATGTCATAAGGCATAAGGTATATAAACCGTAAGGCGTAAGTGATTAGGCATACAGGATATTCCATAAGGCATAAGGTACATATGCCATAAGGCATAAGGCATATAAACCGTAAGGCATAAGGCATTAGGCATACAGGATATGCCATAAGGCATAAGGCATATATACCATAAAGCAGAAGGGATTAGGTAAATAGGCAGTAAGGGATAAGTGATTAGGCATATATGACATAAAGTATAAGGAATTAGGCATATATGCAATAAGGTATAAGGTATTAGGCATATATTGAATGAGGCATTAGGCATACAGTATACGCCATAAGGCATAAGGCATATAAACCGTAAGGCATAAGGGATTAGGCACATATACCATAAAGCAGAAGGGATTAGGTAGATATGCAGTAAGGGATAAGGGTTTAGGCATACAGTATATGCCATAAACCATTGCTCGGTCCCTGCTCCTGCCAACCTAGCAGTTCGAAAGCACGTCAGAGTGCAAGTAGATAAATAGGTACCGCTCTGGGGGGGAGGTAAATGGCATTTCCGTGTGCTGCTCTGGTTCGCTAGAAGCGGCTTAGTCATGCTGGCCACATGACCCGGAAGCTGTACGCCAACTTCCTCGGCCAATAAAGCGAGATGAGCGCCGCAACCCCAGAGTCGGCCACGACTGGACCTAATGGTCAGGGGTCCCTTTACCTTTATAAGCCAAAAGGCATAAGGCATATAAGATGTGAGGCATAAGGCATATATACCATAAAGCAGAAGGGATTAGGTAGATATGCAGTAAGGGATAATGGATTAGCCATATATCACATAAAGTATAAGGAATGAGGCATATATGCAATAAGATATAAGGGATTTGGCATACAGTATATAAAGCATAAGGCAACAGAACCTCACAAATTGTCCAGATGTTCATATATTGCTTTCCCACCCTAAGTTATTCCAAGGAGTTCAGTGCAATTTCCCTGCCTACTGAACTCTTGCAACCCACCCTGTGAGGTTAGCTGGGCTGAAACCGAGAGACATTGACTGGTGCGAGGTCATCCAAGGAATTGAGCAGGCAGGTAAGCGGAGTTTGGAATTCCCCTCCTCTTTACCACATCCTTGAAGTAACCACCGCTAACTTTCATTACACGAAAGACTTCTCATTACTGTAATGCATCACTGAGAAATTGCAAGTTTCAGTAGAAAGCGCAAATCTCTTAAATAATATTATGCAATTCTAAAAACAGTATCGTTTTCATTAAGGATAACATGAAACAACACAAACAATGGGTACTGATCACCAGATACAAAGCAAAACACAATCATGGTGTGTTTAAGGCGTAAGGCTAATAGATATAAGGCATATATGCCATAAAGCATAATAAATTAAGCATATATGCCATAAACCAAGGCATAAAGCATATATGCCATAAACAGGGCCAGATTTAGGTTCGATGAGGCCCTAAGCTCCTGAAGGTAATGGGGTCTTTTATATATCCAGCTGTCCTTTGTCAACAACAAATTGTCACCTTTTTGTGTGTTGAATATATGTTATATGATAATTTATGGACCTAATAAGTCCATACACAACACAACACACTGTTCCTGTATGTAGGTTTTATTTTATTTGTTTTTTATCTTATATTTTGGAAATGTACATCCAGTTTTTTTCTTTAAAAAATTTTTTGGGGACCCCAAGAGAGTGGGGCCCAGAGCTATAGCTTGTTTAGTTTATACGTAAATCCACCACTGCCTTCATTAGAGGATTTTAAACAAAGGGTGATTGCCATCTGTCATGGACATCTGAGCCAACTCCTAGGGGCTGAGGTCCCTTCGCCCCCCCAATAAAATATCTGAGGGGGCAGCCCACCAAGTTAATGGGCATTGCCATTCAAATGGTGTGTATATGCCGTATCATGTGATCAGTTATATGGGGCGGGTCTTACCTGCCCCCCCCCATAATATTCAAGTTGGCACCCCTGGTTATGGATGTTTTAGTCAAGATTACTGCATTGCAAGGGGTTGGATGACTGGGTTCCTTCCAACTCTACAATTCTGTTTCAATTAAAATGTGAAGAAATCATTCATAATAAAGCTTGGGCCACTATCACTCCATGCACATAGAGGTTAGATGTACAGTAGCACCATAACATTATTAATTATGCAAATGTGTATGTGTGTATGTTTTAAAAATACTATACAGTGCTACCTCTGGTTATGAACTTACAGTCATACCTCATACCTACGTTTGCTTCATGTTACGTTCTTTCAGGTTACATCCCGTAGCGACCCAGAAGTACCGGAAAGTGTTACTTCCAGGTTTCGCCACTTGTGCATTTTGCAAATGCGCCGCTGTGGGTTGCGCTCTTTTCATGTTGCGAATGGGCCTCCGGAACGGATCCCGTTCGCAACCAGAGGTACCACTGTAATTCGTTCCGGACGTCTGTTCTTAAGCTGAAACCATTCTTATCCTGAGACGCGCTTTCACTAAAGAGGTTTCCCGCTGTGCTCACGCCTCTGGTGCATGATTTGCGTTAGCATCCTGGGGCAAAGTTCGCAACCAGGAGCAGCTACTTCCGTGTTAGCGGAGTTTGTAACCTGAAGCTTTCATAACCAGAAGCGTTTGTAACCAGAGGTACCACTGTATAGCAGGCATGTGAAAGTCTAGTTCAGGATGAGGAGAGGGTGGGGTGTTTAATCTCTTACCCTTTGATCTTTTATCATTGCCTGAGGACACTACTTGGTGGGAGGAAGCAGTACCAGGGAGGAGTGTTTGCTCATCCTTGGCTGAGTCATCTCTGGAAGGATGTAGGAACTTGGGTGAGAGTCAGATTACAGTTCCAAACTGTATGCTTGACAAGTGGCAATTTTAATTGGTGGTTGCCTCATCTCCTTAATGTTTTTTGTCCCCTGGGCTTGAGATGACCCACCTCAGGATTATTTTATTATTTGTTATGACATTTATATCCCACCTTTCCTCCAGGACAAAAGGGAAAAACATGCTAAGAGGAAGACACGTTTGGCAAACCCTCACTGTGATCAACTCCCGCCAGGAAACCAATGTCCCCACTGTGGAAGGACGTGTGGATCCAGAATTGGCCTCCACAGTCACTTACGGACTCACTGCTAAAACCGTGTTTATGGAAGACAATCTTACTCAGCTACGAGTGATCACCAAAGAAGAAGAAGAGATTTCATCCTCGCAACAAGCATGTGAGGTAAGTGAGAACCTGTGACTCACTCCAAGGCAGGCATAGGCAAACTCGGCCCTCCAGATGTTTTGGGGCTATAACTCCCATGATCCTTAGCTACCAGGATCAGTGGTCAGGGATGATGGGAATTGTAGTCCCAAAACATCTGGAGGGCCGAGTTTGCCTATGCCTGTTCCAAGGTCACCCACTGAGTTTCATGGCTGATTAGGGGATTTGAGCCCTGGTCTTTCAGGGCCTAGTTTGTCAGAGATTTTCCGAGGCGTCTTGCTTGCCTCTGAGAAGCTATGAAGAGCTCCTTCTGCAGAGCTGAGCCTGACCATCAGAGATCTGCTCCACCTCACCAGTTTTGATCATGATTAGGGGATCATATCCAACTCAAGTACGCGGACAGAGTAGAGACTTGTGGTGCAAATCCTAAACATTGTACTCAGAAATAACTCCTATTGTATTCAATGAGCTCAATTACTTCCAGGTATGTAAGATTAGGACTGTAGCCTAGGAGGCCTTGACTAATTATTCATGTACCACCAGGCACAACATCCTCCAGACATTGCTGAACTACAGCTCCCATCTTCCCTGACCATGCTCACTCTGGATAGGGCTGATGAGAATTAGGAGCACAACAACATGGAGAGGACAACCGGTCCCCCGCCCTTGATGCACACAGCACTGCCCAAGGTCCCTGCTCCAAAGGCAATATAATAGGGAGAGAGACAACCAAAGGATGGGTGGTGCAATGGATGAGCGAGATTTCTTCTTCTTCTGAAACTGGGCCCCCTAACTTTGCAACGGAAGCTGGTTTCTTTCCCCTTTCTGTCTTTTTTGTTGTTTGTTATTAAAGACTATAGGCAGCATTGAGTAATCAAAAGACATATTAGCAGAGGTGTTGAAGGTTGGTCAAGTTTGATGAGGTGCCATTTCCTGTGCAACCTTCTCTCTGCTGCCTCTGACAAGCTGTCAAGAGCTGCTTCCCCCTCAGAGTTGAGCCTGACGATCAGAGGGCTGCTCTGCCACATGCGTTTTGATCATGAACAAGGGATCACATCCAACTCGGGTACATTGCCAGGTGGAAAATGCGCCTTGCTACTTTAACTTTCGACCGAGGGAGAATCAAGGAAGACACAAGCCCAAATTCCCGATGCAAGGTAAGTAACGGCTTACCAGTACAAACTGGGAGTTTTCTAAGTTGTTAAGGAAAGCAACTGTGGGGATCTCGCATGTCACAGACATTGTAGGGAGTGTTCAAGTGACCAGTCTTCACTACTTGGTTTCCGTATTAATGTGACTAAGGTACACCCTTCCCCACTTTTCTGCCATGTGTTCAAATGTGTGTTAAATGTTGAGTGCTTTCTGTTTTTGACATCCTTCTTCCAAGTGGCAAGTCTTCTTCTAGAGATGGAAGCACATGACTTACCCCCAAAGAATACTGGGGACTGTAGTCTATACCCCACAGAGCTACAATTCCCAGCGCCTTTAACAAACTACAGTTCACAGGATTCCTTGGGGGAAGGCATGTGCTGTAAATGTGCTTTAACTACATGGTGGGTATGCAGCCGTAATCCATCAAACCTCTGGAAGAAGTGAATTTTTACCTGGCACTGGAAAGATGGTAAGATGAGAGTACAGTGGTACCTCGGGTTAAGTACTTAATTCGTTCCGGAGGTCCGTACTTAACCTGAAACTGTTCTTGACCTGAAGCACCACTTTAGCTAATGGGGCCTCCTGCTGCTGCCGCGCCTCTGGAGCATGATTTCTGTTCTCATCCTGAAGCAAAGTTCTTAACCTGAAGCACTATTTCTGAGTTAGTGGAGTCTGTAACCAGAAGCGTATGTAACCTGAAGCATATGTAACCCAAGGTACCACTGTACGTGTTACAAAAGATTTGCCCTTTTTTGGTCTCTTGGTGCATAATGTGCAGCTTCACATACCTGTGATGTGGCCTTATCGCTCCTTGCATTTCACAGACAGTGAGCTGTCACCATCAGCCACCAAGGACTGAGGGAGAGGGAGAGGAAGACACACTACAGCAGCATTCATACCTCTCGGCTAAGTTAAACAATGGTCACACCATACATTTAAAGCATTCTTACACCCCTTGACCATCATGAAGAACCTTGGGAAAGGTAGTTTGGTAAGGGTGCTGATCCTACAGAGTTACAAACCTCTGCACGCTTAACAAACAACCATTCCCAGGATTCTCCATAACTGCTAAAGTGGTAAAGGAATATGGTGTGGATAGGACCAATGTGTTTTGGGTAGAAAGACATGGGGCAGAGACAGATTTAGGGGAACGTGACCAGTTTGGCCACATTGGGTGGGGAGCCTTGGGGGGGGTGTGGCGCAGGGGGCTCAGCAACTATTATGTAGAATGGAAGGTGAGGTAGGTGGGTGCTGAATTTAGGTGCCGCACAGGGCACCGTTAAAATTGGAGACCCCAAAGTCCACTGCGGCATGGAGAGATGCAGTTTTAGTCAGGAGAGACCCTCAATCTGCCATAAAGTCGAGTTTGGCAGTCCCTGCCTCTGCAGTAATCTCATTTTACAGCTATAAAATCACAGGCTTGGAGGAAACTGGAAAAAAAAAACATACACAAAAAATCCTGTTTAGTTCAACCCCTAACTTTTTACAGTATGTTTGTCAACTTGAGCTTCTTGGAGTGAAGATGGAATACAAATTTAGATAGGAAAAATATATGTTTTATTATTTATTTATTAGACATATATACAGTGGTACCTCAGGTTACATACGCTTCAGGTTACATACGCTTCAGGTTACAGACTCCGCTAACCCAGAAATAGTACCTCGGGTTAAGAACTTTGCTTCAGGATAAGAACAGAAACCGTGCTCTGGCAGCGCGGCAGCAGCAGGAGGCCCCATTAGCTAAAGTGGTGCTTCAGGTTAAGAACAGTTTCAGGTTAAGAACAGACCTCTGGAACGAATTAAGTACTTAACCCGAGGTACCACTGTATTAACAATACTTAATTGCCAACACCTCCCTATTTCCTTTTAGAAGACTCTGTGGTTGGGTTGTGATGCACGCACGCGACATGACGGATTGACACATATGAGAATTGGAAAATAATTTGCCCCCTGACGAAACTGACTAGACTGTGAGGGTTTTGCTATTTCCTGTGGAACCCGCATCAGTTCTGTCATTTCAGTTATCTGTTTTAACAGGTGTAGGTGCATGTCCACATGAGTAGGCTAGCAATTATGGATGTATTATTTTCTGTATGTTCAAAAAACAATAATAAGGTGTCAGGGTGCTGTCAGCGGCTTCCGGCTGGTTTCCCAGGAAAATATAAAGACAAGGAAAAGTTTCTTACAGTCCTTTCTTTTTTCCGGGTGTGCAATTAATCATGTTTTAGTTTTAGCCACAGCTAATAGTGAGATGAATGATGTAGGTTTTAGTGGAATCTGAACAGTAGCAAAATGATTGCACAACGCTGATTGCAACAACGCAGGATGGAATGGAAACTGTTGCCTCCTTACACCCCCAGTCTCTTGCCCTGCCAGACTGCCTGTTCCCTGAGATCTGCTAAGGAGTGTCTTTTCTGTGTCTCCTCTGTGATCAAAGTATGGCTGGTTGAAGCATGAAAGAGGACCTTTTTTCCTGTATCTGTCTAATTTGGGAACCATCTTTTCTCAAGAGATGCATTCCCCCACAACCCTAATTTTACCACACATTTTTTTTATTATGACATTTGAATGTGCTAGGATTGTCTACAGCCTCTAAGATTCATGTGCACACAAACATCTGATCCCTTTCTGATTCACTCTGTACTCTCACCTTTCAGTCTGTGTTTTGATCTCCTTATGAGTCACTGTATAAAAAGAAGCTCTCTGTTTTTTGATAGTTTCACTGTTTTTAAAAATTATTTCTACTTTTTGCTGTCTGCTATCTCCATGTGTGGAGGAGATTGCCCTAATGCCTGAGTTGAAGTGAGAGTCAATTGCCATTTCTTTTGACCAGTATGTGGAATATCAGAGCAGAGTCATCTTGTTCAGGCAAGAAAATGTTTTGGGTCAGCAATATCAAAAGCTCAGTGTTGCTTTTGATGTTGCTGACTTATATTTTGCAACACAGGGTTTGGCTTGTTTACTCAAGAAAATGTATTGGGCTGGCTGGCCACTTGCAGGAAGCTTATCTGACAATAAATCTGTCTGGGGTGATAAGATATTGCTGTTTTTAATTGCCTGTTCCTATGTAAGTTCACAGGAAGTGGTTAAGATCAGTCCTGTGTTGGCCAAGTCATCTTTCAACTCATCTTTGCTTACAATCCCATTTAATCACACCAGCAACAATTCCTATATTCACTGATTCCCCAGGAAATATCTCTGTCTCTTGATCAGTATTTTTAGCACCTTATAACCAGGGAAATAATGTTTCTGGGAGCCGAGGGTCTGTTCCATGTGATAGCATATTACTTCCCCCAAAGAATCATGGGCACTTTAGTTCACCTCCTTGACAAAACACAGTTCCCAGGATTCACAACCCTAGTTCTCTTTCAGATGTATTCTGCCATGAAAGCCATACTTTAAGACTATGTGGTTCCTTCTTGGCAGCACTGTCACTGAACCATGATTCCAGGGGGCAGTAATGACCTTCAGCCACACTGGCTGGGGATGATGTGAGCAGGAGTAAAATGACAACTTGGAGTGGCATGAATTCCCCATCCCTGTCTTACATAAATCTATGGTGTGACTAGATTAACAACAACAACAATTTATTATTTATACCCCACCCATCTGGCTGAGTTTCCCCAGCCACTCTGGGTGGCTCCCAATCGAGTGTTAAAAACAATACAGCATTATATATTAAAAACTTCCCTAAACAGGGCTGCCTTCAGATGTCTTTTAAAAATAGTATATCTGCTTATTTCCTTGACATCTGATGGGAGGGCATTCCACAGGGCACTAGGGCTTTTCCAAAAGTGAAAATGTGGGCAAAGTTGTTGACCTTTATTGTCGATGCCATTCCAGGATATCTGGAGCCCTATCTAGAGCTCATTTTTGGCAGTTTCTGATGTAGGTTTAGAAATGGATCAGAATGTGGGACTATCATTCATTCAGGGGCATTGTTAGGGGGCAGCTCAGAGGGCCCAAGCCCTGGTTAGAATCATCGAATTGTAGAGTTGGAAGGGACCCTGAGGGTCATCTAGTCCAACCCCCTGCAATGTGAAATCTCAGCTAAACTATCCATAGCAGATGGCCATCCAACCTCTACCTAAAAACCTCAAATACAATAATGTAGATCTAGAAAGGGGCAACTGAAATGATCAAGGGGTAGGGCTGGAGCAATTCCTCAGTGCAGAAAGATTGCACATTTTCAGTTTTTTAGTTAGAAAGGGGATGAGCAAGGCTCATGAGCCAGTGTGGTGTAGTGGTTAAGAGCGGTGGACTCGTAATCTGGTGAACCAGGTTCGCTTCCCCGCTCCTCCACATGCAGCTGCTGGGTGACCTTGGGCCAGTCACACTTCTCTGAAGTCTCTCAGCCTCACTCACCTCACAGAGTGTTTGTTGTGGGGGAGAAAGGGAAAGGAGAATGTTAGCTGCTTTGAGACTCCTTCGGGTAGTGATAAAGTGGGATATCCAAACTCCTCCTCCTCCTCCTCTTCTTCTTCGTCTTCATAATTTTGAGGGAGCACAAGCGAGGCACTCCCACACAGGGATCCCACCCTTTCTGCTACTTGGGGTTTCTGGGCCCCAGAGCCCAGTCTCGCCTTGCCCCCATGCGCCCGTCACCCTGGTCTGGCCAGAGTTGGAGCAATGCACCTACCAAGAGCCAGATCAGCCAGCCAGACTCCCCCCCTGTGTGTGGGCAGGCAGGTAGGTGGCACAGTGCAGCCCCATGAACCCTCTCTGCCCGTATGTCAGTGAGGGTTGGCCTTGTGCAGCAGGTTTTGTTTACCCTCAATGCCCAGCCCCTGGTCCTACATATTGCGTGTGCACTCACACCCTAGGCACCAGTGAAGGACGCAATACAGCTGGTATCGGGCACTGTGGGAAGCAGGATGGATAGGCCTTTGTTCAGATGCCCTCATACTAAGCTCTTTCTCCTATCGCTGGCTCTTGCAGATGAACTGCTCAGACAAGCTCGACGGCATCGCGTCATCATTGGGTCTGGATGTGTTGCAATCCTCATACTAGTGGGAGCTGTGATAGGGCTTGGCTTTTGGGGTAAGTACCTTAAGGCCTAAAATTACCCATATGCCCACAAACTGTACTTAATGGAGCACCACGAATTGTCCTTTACTGCCACAGTGAGGCTCTACAGTGGTACCTTGGGTTAAGAACTTAATTCATTCTGGAGGTCTGTTCTTAAGCTGAAACTGTACTTAACCTGAGGTACCACTTTAGCTAATGGGGCCTCCCGCCGCCGCACGATTTCTGTTCTCATCCTGAAGCAAAGTTCTTAACCTGAGGTACTATTTCTGGGTTAGCAGAGTCTGTAACCTGAAGCGTCTGTAACCTGAGGTACCACTGTATATCCACTCGGAGCAGGGGTAGGGAAACACCAGAGCCACTCTGGGCAAACCACACACACCTTTCTCGGACTTGACATCATATACCATGCCAGGGAGGGAAAAGTTCAAGTTGCAATCTTCAAAGCTGTAGCTAAAAGGAACAGTGTCTGCTCCCTATTTGTCATTTGCATCAAAAAGCCAGCACTTTGAACTTGCCACTTTAGGGCAACAGAAAACAGCATGAGTCAAAAAGTGCCAACTGTACTCTTTTTTAACACCTCCAAATGAAAGGTTGGCATTTTGAATCTGTTCGATGGGGTGAGCTCCCGTTGCTCTGTCCCAGCTCCTGCCAACCTAGCAGTCCGAAAATACACCAGTGCAAGTAGATAAATAGGTACCGCTGAGATGGGAAGTTAAATGGGATTTCCATGTGCTCTGGTTTCCATCACGGTGTTCTGTTATGCCAGAAGCGGTTTAGTCATGCTGGCCACATGAGAGATAGAGATAGAGATAGAGATAGAGATAGAGATAGAGATAGAGATAGAGATAGAGATAGAGATAGAGATAGAGATAGAGATAGAGATAGAGATAGAGATAGAGAGAGAGAGAGAGAGAGAGAGAGAGAGATAGAGATAGAGATAGAGATAGAGATAGATAGAGATAGAGATAGAGATAGAGATAGAGATAGAGATAGAGATAGAGATAGAGATAGAGATAGAGATAGAGAGAGAGGACCCTTCATGTGTCAATTCTGCACATGACTCTGTTTGCAGGACAATGCCTCCATCTGGACATAGCTTCCTGATCCAGCATCAGGAGAGTTGAGAACACACAGCACAAGACTAACCATGTCTACTCAGGAGTCCTATTAAATTCATTGAGGCTTACTCCAAGGTAAGTGGAGTTACCTTCTTACCTGGAAGTAAGCCCCCCATGGGACACACTTCTGAGTAGACATATATAGGATTGAACTGTAACCTTACCAATTTGAATAAAGGGGGTTGTTTTCCTAGGCGTTATCTCCCACCCACCCTCATATGTCTGTCACTGCACAGAAATTTTGCAGCTTGGCCTGGTCTAATTGTGACCAATTTGAGATGTGTGGTGAATGGGACTCGAGAATAAAACTGCTGCCCTGTACGCCGCAGCATGAGTCACCTGGCTGGCACTGCGGCGGTGCCCCGTGCGACTTACAAGTCAAATTGCTTTTTAAAAAAATGCCCCCCCCCCAATTGCAAATGGACATTCTGCTGTGGCGTCTGCAACTTATGCAGTTGTGGAAATGACTGGTTCAGAAAACAAGCAGCAAATTTCACTCATGAGGAAATTGGGGAAATTGTTCTTAAGGGAAGGGAAGCCTTGCATTTCTTTTTATATGATAAACATGCCCCTTGGTTTGTTTTTTTAAGCGTCAAAACTTATCTGAACAAGAAAGGGAAAGATAATGTGTTAGATAGCACGATCATCACCGCCATTGTCAGCTCATTGGTCCTAAAATAGTCAAACCACAAGAATGTGCAGGGGGAAAATCTCTTGTAGAAGTGCCGGGTGTGTTTGGTTATGAAACCAAAGTGCAGTGCGAAACACAGTCAAAGAGGTTTCAATTAGGCACCCAAATATAAATTATGGGAAATAGCCTCTTCTTCTTAAGCAAAATAGCTCGGCCTCTCAAAGCAAACCTTCACTATCTTTTCACATTTGTTCAGATATGATACTTCAACTGGTTTCGTCTCCGTCCTCTTATGAATCTTCTGTTCTGCAAGCTACGGAACTACCAGGCAACCAGTAACCAAGTCTTCATGCATAAAAGCTTAAATTCATTGCATTTTTTTAAAATGGAAAACATATTGTAGCAGGGAGTCCTTGGAGCACCCCACAATCACTTAACCTTGACTCCCATAGGTTCAGGTCGGGGGTCACAAACAAGAGACTTCAGCCAGGAGATAGAAGCAAAACAGGGGCCTGTAGGCCTGATCTTTATTGTTGCAACAAGGCTCCCCACTAGCACAAAGACAAAGCAGCCAGGGGCCCCAAACAAGGGTTACATCAGTATTTTAAAGTTTCCCATAATACATCTTAGGATGCATCATCAAGACATCATAGATACGTCACAGAAAAAGGTGTGGTCTCAGGGAGAACCTGAGATCCAGACATGCCCCTGTCACTCAAATATAGTCTTTCATACTCTATTACAGTACAAAGGAAAGCATTTACAGTTCCCTGGTCCCTGAGTCAAATATACAAATACAAGTTAAATACACCCGTGGGCTTCATCGCACTGTTGGTTATTTGTCTGACACTCTTGGGGCAGGATATCACCCGTCAGGACTATGACCTGTACATCTTGGGGATTATGGTGGGCTCACTAACCTCTCCCTAGGTCCTAAATGCCATTTGAAATGAGAAGATGGATACAAGTGATTTCTTATGAATTTTCTAAAGTTTTCCCATTGAGCCAGTACACAGATACATTTATCAGTGAATTGCTACGTTTGGTATTGACACTTTCCCTGTTTTCCTTGTTTGGAGACCTGGGGCTCAGTGGGGAGTCCTGAGCCAAGCTTGCCTTGCAGATGCAATGCCTTTGCAGATATTTGGCGGTATTTTTCTCTTGACACTATAGGATTTGGTTTTTCACAGGTGAAAAGGCGGGGAAATACCTCTTGTGTGGTATTTGTGTGAGTGAATGTGTTTGGTAATGTGCAGCAAGTCACACCATCAGTGAGTAACGGCTGCAGTTCTTAGTGACGGGTTGCTTTGATACTACAAGCCCTGGAGTGCTGCCGACATTCTAGGCACGGGTTCAAGAGGTTTTTCTTTTGCCCCTTGCTTACCACGGAAAACACAGTACTTGGCACAGAAAATTGCAATTGCTGTTTGTTACGATACAGTGGCACACAGTGGGTTTTCCCGGGAAAAGTGGTGGTGCAAAGGAAAACCTCTCAGGCTTGTGCCCAGAAAGCATGGGTGGCCTAGACTGGTTGGGCGCAGAGGAATGGTGGGAGGAACCAGCTGGGGAAGCAGCAAGGGGAAAAGGCTCAGAGCCCAGGGAATTGGTAGTGGGACAACGATGATGAGTGGTTGGAGGGAGAAGAGGGAGGAGACTAGGAAGAGGAGGTGTCAAAAGCTGGAGAGGTAACAGGGCTTAGTGAGCAGGAGGAGCCTGTGACAGAGAGGAGGCCAGAATCAGAGGTAGAAGCTGAATCAGGGGAGGAGGGAGGCCAAGAACCAGGAGAGATAGGAAGAGGGCAGAGGAACAGGGAGTGTTATTACCATGGCTAAATTACCCTCCCTGCCGTAGCAGATCCCAGAGTGGGTTACAAGTACTTAAAATCCAGGGTTAAAAACCATTAAAACAGACTGCCATTGCATGAATAGGGTGGACCCTGAAAACATCTCAGATCTCGAAGGTTAGGGTAAAGAGGAGCATCTTCAGCATTTTCTGAAAGCTTTATAAGGAGCCAGGTGTACCTCCCTGGGGAGGGAATTCTGCAACTTGGGCTCTGTAGGTGGAATTACCAAGAGGGCCCCCTCTGCTGATCTTAAATCTTCTTTTCTGCAGATCCTGCTTTTTCCTGTTCAGGGTGGGGAGCCTGTGTTGCCTGCCTTTGTTGATTGGTGGCTGGCGGCCCACCCCTCCTCCTTTCTGTGTACAGGAGGAAGAGAATGGAAGTTGTGGTGGCAGTGGCAAGACCCTGATAGAATACCAGGGAGCCACTATGGTAATTGCCCACAAGGCCCCGGAGGACATAGCGATACTGTGTGGGAACTGTGGGAATGCTGAGGGTTTTCTGGAGAAGATATATTATTAATATCCTTCCTAACTTGTGCTAGCAAGTTTCTTCACTTTGTTATTGTTGTTTAGTCTTTCAGTCATGTCCAACTCTTGGACCAGACTCCATGGACCAGAGCAAGCCAGGCACTCCTGTCTTCCACTGCCTCCCACAGTTTGGTCAGACTCATGCTGGTAGCTTCAAGAACACTGTCCAGCCATCTCGTCCCCTGTTGTCCCCTTCTCCTCGTGCCCTCCATCTTTCCCAACATCAGGGTCTTTTCCAGGGAGTCTTCTCTTCTCATGAGGTGGCCAAAGTATTAGAGCCTCAACTTCAGGATCTGCCCTTCCAGTGTGCACTCAGGGCTAATTTCCTTCAGAATGGATAGGTTTGATCTTCTTGCAGTCCATGGGACTCTCAAGAGTCTCCTCCAGCACCATAATTCAAAAGCATCAATTCTTCGGCGATCAGCCTTCTTTATGGTCCAGCTCTCACTTCCATACATCACTACTGGGAAAACCATAGCTTTAACTAGACGGTCCTTTGTCGGCAAGGTGATGTCTCTGCTTTTTAAGATTGCTTTTCTCCCATTCACTTAGCAGAGTGCATTCCCCTTCTTACACAATAGAAAGCTGGTTGCAAACTCTTCTGAATTTCTTAAGACAATAAGCAATTCATCTGGCTTGTCCAGACTGAGATATGTTCTAATATTTCTGGTAAGTCCCCTTTTAAATCCCTCCTAAGAAATAAAGACACCACAGTCTATTCATAAATAACAAAAAATAGTTTTACTTACGATCAGGCAGAGCACAGTGCAATCCCTGAAGGCCGGTTTAAGGCTTAAAGTTACAAACATGTACAAACAAGTTTACCCCCATATGGGAGATAACCTGGGGAACTGCTGTGGCAGCCAGCAGTACAGTCCAGGTGATGCAGGAAGCAGGCAGGACAAACAGGAAGGTCAAAAAGAGGAAGGTAGCAGTGTGACTTGGCCTTTTACCAGGTCTGGACAGGTCAGACCTACCTAGTAGTCACATGCAAGGAAGCAAGGTCAGGGGAACAAAAGTTTTCAACTGACTGGACCAAACATTCCCTTACATGTCCACTCTAGCAAAACAAGGAATGTTATACTTGGCTGCTCCCAGGGGATTACGTCCCACAGGAACGATGGGCAATTACAATGGCAGCCACCCTCCCCACAGTGCTCATTGAAGGAGCACCCAAAAAAGGATCCCAGGGCAACAGTGTCAGTGTCAAGCCCATCACAGCTGCTGATACTGGGTCTGCCTGTCCATGCTGGAGAGACTGGAACTGCAACACACACGACGCCAGAAATCTGGTTTAGGAAACATTGGAGGACAAAAGAGAAAACTCTCAAATGGAACAAGCCAACCCATATTTTTCTCGTAATTCCAGAGAAAAGGACTAGTGTGGCAACAACTTTTCTTTCCAACAACACATTTTCTTTTCAAATAAATCTTAAGCAGACCATTATCCTCATCTTGCTGATCGCCTAAATAGTCATGCCTTTTAAAGTTTTTCAGATGAAACAAGCTCTGGAGAAGGCACAAAGCTGCCCAGGACCCAGCAATGGAACACAGCAGACCAAGACCACCCCAGAGCAGTGTCAGACTTTGCGGCAGTTTCTGTGCAAGCCACACGGCAATCACGTAGCAGGTAACACCTGAGCTTTCAGTAGCCTTTGGTTGATAAACAGGAATGCAGGCACAATGATGATCCAGCTAAAGTCAAAGGCTTGCAGATCCCATTGATTCCAATGAAAAGGTTGCAAAACATGTGCATAACAAAAGAACTGGTTCAAGTAAACCAATATGAGCTTCTGCCTGGGGGCAGGTGGTGCTAGATCAGGGGTCGCCAACATGGTGCCCTCCAGATGTTTTGAAGCACAGCACCCATCAGCTCGCATGGCCAATGGTCATGGATAATGGAAGTTGTAGTTTTCAACATCTGGCGGGCATCGGGTTGGCTATGCTAGCTGTGTAAAAAAACACCTCAGGACACAAGCCCATTGTACAATTTTGCATAAAATCTGCAGGTGCTAACATATGTAAAGATGCAGATTTAGGTATGCTTTCAGAGAGACAGCCATCTTGTAAGCACAGTAAATAGCAATATAGAAAACTGCTTTTGAAAGAGGGGGTGGAGGTTCAGAGCCTAAGGGATGCCCTCTAACAGCACACCTGGCTTCGTGGTTTTTTCTTCTTCCAGAGAATTCAGATTGCAAGCTCTGCCCGGAAAACTGGCAGCGCCATGGAGACAAGTGCTACTGGATTTCCAGGGAGAAGGGAACCTGGAACAAGAGCCAAAATGATTGTGCAGCAAAAGATTCTCAACTCGCTGTGATACAAAAACAGGTGGAATTGGTAAGTCCTGACTAATAACTTTCTTTTGTTGGTGCATGTAGTCAGTGCTTTGTTTGTTGTGGTCGTAGTTACTGGTATGGCGTATGCTCACCTCCTTTTTTTGCTGTGGCTGTGGATGGCAGCCATTTTGTGCTGCCATCCACAGCCCATTCATCATGATACAAGTACCAACACCTCTTTATTTTTCTTTTTGTCGCAGTCAAGTTGGGTTTTCTGCTCTTTTATTTATTTGATTTCAGTCGCTTCCTGTGAAGCACTTCAACGTGATTTCACCACACAATTAAAACTTATAAAAGACCAATTACATGTATAAAAGAGTTTTAAATCAAGATAGATGCCGAGTGAGAAAAATATCTCCACTTAGATTTGTTGAAGGTAGAAAGTATCCCTCAGATGCCCTGAAGAACGTAGAGATGATGCCTTTCTAAGGCAGGCTTTCTCAAACTCAGCCCTCCAGATGTTTTGGGCCTACAGCTCCCATGATCCCTAGCTAGCAGGACCAGTCGTCAGGGATGATGGGAATTGTAGTCTCAAAACATTTGGAGGGCCGAGTTTGAGGAAGCCTGCTCTAAGGTGTAATAGGAGGGACTTCCAAAGGGTTATTTCAAGACTCTGTAAACTGAGGTAATTTTAGTCCCTGACGTCATATGGAATGGAATGCCTTGGCCCTGTAGCCAGTTGCATTTCTAGTGGGGCATTTTTTGGCCAGGGTGGGGTGGCACATAGCGCCAGCCAGTCCCTGCACTCTACTTACTGGTTGAGAGGATGTGAAGGCCAGGCCAGGGAAATGGAAAGGCACCTTTTCTTCAGAGCACATGTTATCTTGTATATTGGGTTATGAAAAGGTCAAGCTATCAGACAATTTAGTACAGTGGTACCTCAGGTTAAGAACTTAATTCGTTCCGGAGGTCTGTACTTAACCAGAAACTGTTCTTAACCTGAAGCACCACTTTAGCAAATGGGGCCTCCTGCTGCTGCCGCACAGCCGGAGCATGATTTCTGTTCTCATCCTGAAGCAAAGCTCTTAACCCGAGGTACTATTTCTGGGTTAGCGGAATCTGTAACCTGAAGCGTATGTAACCTGAAGCGTATGTAACCACTGTATGAACACCAGTCTGAGAGAAAAATAGGCCCCTTTCCCAAGGTTTTCAGGTTTTCCTAGAATTAGAGTAATGTAAAAAAAATTAAAAAGTTGTTACCTCTCCTCTCTTTTTCAAATGCACCCCCCCAAAAAATTTTTTTGCCAAACTCTTGTGGATTATTAAGAGTCTCTGCAACTGAGTTAGAATGGAAAATGTTGACACAAAAACCTGCAGCGTCAGGAAGTTGGCAAAAGTCACAGCTGGGAAATTCCTTTGAAAGATATTTGTGTTGCTTCATTTTAAGAGAATCTTGGCTGCGGAGAATTCTTCTTTTGTCAGAGGGTTATTCATAGGGAGAGAAGTTGGTTCCCGTGCTCAAAAATAAAGTCTGATTAAAGCATGATGCCACCGCAGTGATTATTGCATCATTTCCAGAAAATTTCCTGTTCATGTCAAGAAGACACATGACTGCTTTGCTTGGCTGCTCTGCTTTTCCAAGAATATTGCAGAGGCCAGAGCTTTCCCCCTCCCAAGGTGCAATCTCCAAGAAGTTCACACAAGCAACCAGGCTTTTAAAAATCCTTCAGTTGTTGCTAGAAGGAGGCTTTTTCCTCCCAAGCCTAATTGCACCTTGGGAGGGGCAATTTTGGAATGACGGTCGTAGCTGGTAAGGGGTAATGCAACATGTGCTTCACAGCGTCACAATGGTGGTCCTGTCTTCCTATGAGAGGTCACTCCAAACAGCTGGGCAGAGTTGGGGGTGCATGTTGTGAAATCTGCCATTGCTCAGAAAAGGTAAAGGGACCCCTGACCATTAGGTCCAATCGTGGCTGACTCTGGGGTTGTGGAACTCATCTCGCTTTATTGGCCGAGGGAGCCGGTGTACAGCTTCTAGGTCATGTGGCCAGCATGACTAAGCTGCTTCTGGCGAACCAGAGCAGCGTACAGAAACACCGTTTACCTTCCCACTGGAGCAGTACCTATTTATCTACTTGTACTTTGACGTGCTTTGGAACTGCTAGGTTGGCAGGAACAGGGACCGAGCAACGGGAGCTCACCCTGTCACAGGGATTCGAACCACCAACCTTCTGATTGGCAAGTCCTAGGCTCTGTGGTTTAACCCATAGCACCACCCGTGTCCCTGCCATTGTTCAGAAGCAGAGGTTAAATGTGAGGTCTATCTAACAAACAAACAAGATGAATTTTAACAGGGAGAAATGTAAAGTATTGCACTTGGGCAAAAAAAATGAGAGGCACAAATACAAGATGGGTGACACCTGGCTTGAGAGCAGTACATGTGAAATGGATCTAGGAGTCTTGGTTGACCACAAACTTGACATGAGCCAACAGTGTGACGCGGCAGCTAAAAAAGCCAATGCAATTCTGGGCTGCATCAATAGGAGTATAGCATCTAGATCAAGGGAAGTAATAGTGCCACTGTATTCTGCTTTGGTCAGACCTCACCTGGAGTACTGTGTCCAGTTCTGGGCACCACAGTTCAAGAAGGACAGTGACAAACTCGAACGTGTCCAGAGGAGGGCAACCAAAATGGTCAAAGGCCTGGAAACGATGCCTTATGAGGAACGGCTAAGGGAGCTGGGCATGTTTAGCCTGGAGAAGAGGAGGTTAAGGGGTGATATGATAGCCATGTTCAAATATATAAAAGGATGTCACATAGAGGAGGGAGAAAGGATGTTCTCTGCTGCTCCAGAGAAGCGGACACGGAGCAATGGATCCAAACTACAAGAAAGAAGATTCCACCTAAACATTAGGAAGAACTTCCTGACAGTAAGAGCTGTTCGACAGTGGAATTTGCTGCCAAGGAGTGTGGTGGAGTCTCCTTCTTTGGAGGTCTTTAAGCAGAGGCTTGACAACCATATGTCAGGAGTGCTCTGATGGTGTTTCCTGCTTGGCAGGGGGTTGGACTCGATGGCCCTTGTGGTCTCTTCCAACTCTATGATTCTATGATTCTATGATTCTAACCTCAGAACCAGCTGCCTTAAAGGTCAATCTATAAATGCATATTTCTAGGGTTGCTATATTTGGAAGAGCAAAAAGGGAAGACACCTTTGCCTAAATACGGATTGCTGTGATGACTCTCATTTTTAACACCCCTAGTATATGTAGCCTATAGAAGTTGTGATATATTGCTGGTAGCAGTGTTCTTAACTTTAAAGGGCTTGCCGGAGTAGAGCCACAGGCACTGTAACCACTGGCAGAGGAAGAGTAGTGCGGGGGGAGTGCACCACCCCTGGCAGTGCGATCCCGGTGGGGTGCCATCGCAGCTGCCCCCCCCCGCTCGTGCTGGGTGCCTTGTCCCCGCAGGTGGTGTGCAACGCCCCAGGACATGCGTCACACCTCCGAGACATGCGCCAGCCCCGCCCCCGCCTGCTGTCCTCCACACACACACACCCCGGTGCCAGAGCATGAAGTTCTGCCACTGACTGTAACTAAAAATGCCCATGTGACCACAATGCTGGCCTACAGCCGCCAATCCTCATTGGCCCTGGGGAAGAGGGCGTGTGCATGCTGCGGAATGCTCCCGTTCCATTCATGAAAAATGGCGAGGGATGGGAATGCGACACTTGGGGCTTTTAAAATTGTTTTAATTTTTTTAAAAAAATTCTTGGGTTACTGTAAACAAACAAATAAAACACCCGGACATTTGGGTAAATTTTAAAAAATTGCCCAGACAGAAATTTTAATCCTGAAAAATAGGGAGAAAGAGGACATGTGTCAACCCTACGACGTCCTTCTCATATCCTTGACAGGATTTCATACGTCATAAAACTGATGGAGGGCAACTTCTGTGGATTGGAGTGACCACCATACCTCCTGCTCATGAATGGTCTTGGGTTGATGGCTCCCCACTAAATGACACACTGTGAGTATTTCCATCATACCAGTGGCGTAGCGTGGGGGGTGCAGGGGGGGCCGGCCACACCGGGCGCAACATCTGGGGGGGGGCGCTCGCACTCGCAGCTCTCTGCCCCTACCTGGCTCACTCTCTCTCTCACTGCAGTGCTGGCTGTGCGAATCCGATCCGAGCCGCTGGGTCGCCGCCCACTGTGGAGGGGGTGGGTGCCAGGCGTGCGGTGCGGAGAGAGAGCGAGGGACTATCTGGGGGAGGGACAGTGCAGCGGCCGCCCAGCGCAGCGCTGAGCGCGGGAGAGAACCACACCAGACCAGACCAGGCAGCAGCAAGAAGAAGCTGGCAGCGGCGGCAGGTTAGGGGGCGCAAATTACTTGCCTTGCCCCGGGTGCTGACAACCCACGCTACGCCGCTGCATCCTACAGTTTCATACTGGTTTTGGCTGGAAATGTGTGTTGGTTCTTCTACCCGCAGTGTTATTCTGCACCTCCTCTACAGTTTTCTTCCATTTTACTGTACAGTTATCTACCCTTTGAGACCATTATCTGCTTCATGACACTTGGTTGTGCTGACTTATCTTTAAATATGCAGACATCAAAGGCTCAAACCATGATAAGAGCAGATAATTCCCCCCCCCCCTCTCTCTCTCTCTCTCTCTCTCTCTCTCTCTCTCTCTCTCATTTTCTCCTTTTCCTTTTCCTTCCTTCCTTTCTTTTCTGATTGCCATTGAAATGGGTTGTTCTTGTTCTTGTTATATTGCTAATATCCTGGCTTGCTCATCTGTGGAATTCACAATACATGAATTCACAATACATGTAACGATATCACTGTGTGGGGAGCCAATCGGTCAATTACACTATCCAGTCAAATTGCAATGTTTTCCATACATTCTAAAAGACCAATACAGTGGTGCCTCGCAAGACGAAATTAATCCGTTCCGTGAGTCTCTTCGCCTAGCGGTTTTTTTGTCTTGCGAAGCAACCCTATTAGCAGCTTAGCGGATTAGCGCTATTAGCGGTTTAGCGGCTTAGCGGCTATTAAAGGCTTAGCGGCTTAGCGGCTAAAAGGCTATTAGCGGCTTAGCGACTTAGAAAAGGGGGGGGGCGAAAAAAATCACAAGACTTGCAAGACTTTTTCGTTTTGCGAAGCAAGCCCATAGGGAAATTCGTCTTGCGAAGCGCATCGAAAAACAGAAAACCCTTTCGTCTAGCGGGTTTTTCGTCTTGCGAGGCATTCGTCTTGCGGGGCACCACTGTAAAGAGGAATAGAGCAACATCAAAAAAATGCCACATCAAGAGTGAGAAACAGATGCAAGAAAACACACGTTACACAGTAAGCCACACATAAACCATACATAAAGCAAACAAGAAAACTCCAGCAGAGGAAACCACCCTCCCCACACTTCAACAGAAAGAAACAGGCACAGAAAAAACTCCAAGCATCAGAGTAAGCCATTCATATCTGCAGCACACCTGCACATCAGCATTGAGAGAGCCACTGTAGTGTAGTGGTTAGAATGTTGGACTGGGACCTGGGAGACCAGAGTTCAATCCCCTCTTGGCCATGAAGTTCCCTGGGTGAATTTGGGCCAATCTCTGTCTGCCTCACAGGGTTATTGTGTGGGCAAGAACCATGTACACTAGGGTGATTCATAAAAAACTTTTTTTTTTTAATGCTTACTCCAAAGGTCTTATCTTACTACACTAGGGATTATATAGCTATATCTGAAATTTCATGCATATAAGTTAATATCTTAACCCTCCTCCACAAAAATAGCTGTTTACTTGGCCGTTTCCATATGTCATGAAGGCTGAAATTTCAGTTCAGTGGAGCAGGATCAAGATATTAACTGATATGCATGGAATTTCAGATATAGCTTATATAATCCCTAGTGTAGTAAGATAAGACCTTTGGAGCAGGCATTTTAAAAAATACATAAATTTATGAACCTCCCTAATATACACCACCTTGAGCTCTTTGAAGGAAAGGCAATAAGTAAAAATAATAATAATTAAAGAGAATGGAACTGATGTTCAATTCTAGAAGCATTGTTCATGACAGCTAAAAATGGACAGCGCACATTTGGAAACTCAGCTTAGGAGTATAAAGGGGGCAGGGAGAGATGCCATCACTGTCAAGGTGAAAAAGCAGCTTTGGCCTTCCTGTGACAAATGCTCTTTGCTTGACTTTCTCCTCTGTTCTGCAGATTGCAAGTCACAGGTCTTGCTGAAGCGAACAGCTGCGGGATGCTGAAGGGGAAGAGAGTTAATTCAGAAGCCTGCAGTGCCATAGCCAAGTGGATCTGTGAGACGGAAGTTCGTCTGGTGTAAATAATAACAAAGGAGGGAAAGAGAAGACGTGGGCCCATGCAATCACGATGGCAAGATCCTGTGATGATTGTGCTGACACGTGCAGCCGAATCAAAGGGGGAAAGATTGCTTTTGAGACTATGTTTGTTCTTTGTGAAAAGTGCTTCTATGTCAAAATCAGTGAGCCTCTTAAAACTTTGCAGAAGTGTCCCTGTTGGGTGTGATTCTTTCCCAGAAATGCTGGAGACAGTGTTGAAGTCCAGGACTGGCCACAGTGCCTCACCCACTTAGCTTGGAAGAGGTGGAACATGGAAAGTGAGAATTTCCATACCCTAAGTTACATCTGAAACCCTTGGATACCCTTTGCAAAGTGGAAATAGTAATGTTAGTGCAGTGGTTTCTTGCTGGTCTGGGGGGTTCTTAGAAAATGCTAAAAGCTGCCCACCTTCTGGAGCTGGACAGACAAATTAATGGATCACGTAAAAGACACAGTCCCCCCTTAACTTCACCCTACCCCTTTTCTGACAGGTGCAGCTCATGTCATGAGGGAGTAATCCAAATAAATTCTCATTTACAACCAAATTAATACAGTGGTACCTCGGGTTAAGTACTTAATTCGTTCCGTAGGTCCGTTCTTAACCTGAAACTGTTCTTAACCTGAAGCACCACTTTAGCTAATGGGGCCTCCTGCTGCTGAGCATTATTTCTGTTCTCATCCTGAAGCAAAGTTCTTAACCCGAGGTAATATTTCTGGGTTAGCAGAGTCTGTAACCTGAAGTGTATGTTACCTGAAGCGTATGTACCCTGAGGTACCACTGTATAAGTTGCACTTCCTTTTTCTCTTTTTTAAATTTTATTTTTATTAAAGATTTCTTTTTAAAAAAAATTTAACAATTTCAACATAACAAATCATCTTAATTATTTCCCCCCTTTTTTCCTCCCCACTTCCCAAAGAACCCTCCCCCCAAGACTTCCCTCAGCTCATCTCTCTGATTTCTCAACTCATGTTATTCTCTGCATATTGTAAAATTGTACATATCCTTTTATTATCTAACTATTATATTAACCCTCAATAAATTTGTGTATGTTTATTCAAAACCTGCCAAGGAGTCCAGTTCATTTTGTTGTCTTTTTAAATAATTTGTAAAAAGTCCCCATTCTTCTTTAAAGTCACAGTTGTCCTTATCTCACAATTCGTATGTGGGTTTCGCCAGTTCTGCATAGTTCATTAATTTCTCTTGCCACTGTTCTTTTGTTCGGGTTTCCACATTCTTCCATCCTTGTGCTAATAAGACTCTTGCCGCTGTTGTAGCATACATGAATAAGTTCTTTTTTTCCTTGGCAGGTTATTAAAGATTTCTTAGTTTACAAAAGTATGTGCAACGTTGCTTTTCCCAGTTGCATTTTCTACAGATCAGTTTCATTTCTTGTGAGACATTAGTGTTACAGTACATTAGGAAGAAAAGGGGGAAGAGTTGGAGGGGTGGGATAAATTGTACTTTCTGAAACAATATGAGAAACAAAACAGGATGCCTTCAAAATTCACACTTAACCAAATTTTGTGATGCCATTATTCAGCCAAGCAGTGTTTACAAAAATGCACTTATTAGGGGTAAATGTGCATAGAAAATAATATACAGTGGTACCTTGGTTCTTAAACACCTTGGTTCCCAAATGCTGAAAACTCGGAAGTAAGTGTTCCAGTTTACAAACGTTTTTCAGAAGCTGAAGTCTGATGTGATTGTCAGATATTGTTTACTGCACCAATCAGAAGCTGCGCCTTGGTTTTCAAACATTTCAGAAGTCAAACGGACTTCCAGAATGGATTAAGTTTGGCACTTTTGTTTTTGCTATTTATTTTGCGTTTCTCTTTTTGAGGTTTTCTCAGCTAATTTGTTTTTGTGACTGTGTGGAACCGAGTTCAGCTACTGGTTGATTGATTATGTGACTGCAGAAATGGATAAAAGCCCCCCGTCCAAACAATGACTATCATCAGTGCAGGTAAGAAGAATTTTTTTAAAAATTTTTTATCATCTACAATACTGTCTTATTTATTTTATAGTACAGTACATGGATTATTGCTTTCATTTTATGGATCAATGGTCTTGTTAGTTAGTAAAATTCATGTTAAATTGCTGTTTTAGGGGTTGCCTTTAAAAGTCTGGAACGGATTAATCAATTTTGCATTACTTTCTATAAGAAAACCTGAAGCATATGTAACTTGAAGCGTATGTAACCCGAGGTACCACTGTATACTGAAGGTGTAAATAGGTGAATAAACCCTATTTCTTAAAGCTATGACAGTCTCCACTGTGTCTCAATTCTCTAAAGGAACACAGACCTTGGGTGAGTTCCTGGAACCCCCTGGGATCTTGTTATTGTGGGATGTGATACATAAGTAGCAGTCAAGTACAACATTCCTTGTTTCCCTAGAGTGGACATGCAGGGCAATTTTTGGTCCAGCCAGTCGAAAACTTCCTGTTACCTCCTGGCTGGGACATCCTTCCTTTGCATGTGACTAGAGGTGGGCGTGACCTTACCTGTCCAGGTAACAAAAAGACAAGGCATGCAGCACTCACTCTCTCTCTTTGACTTCCGCCATCATTGGAGCAGCTTTTTAGCTAGAAATCCTCTGTTGGCTTTCAACCAATAGAGGACACTGGGATTATCCCCACATGGGACAGAAAGATCCACATGCATATACTTTGTAACTAAGTTTGTCTTCAGGGATCCAACCGTGAACTGATGATGTGAGTAAACTTCTTTTATTGACTTTAAATAAGATTGTCGTGTGTTTATTCTTTTAAGAGGGATATAAGGGAACTTACTAGCAACCTAATACTGAGAGGCTTACACAAGCCTGCAACCAGCTACCCGCTGTGCCTTTAAAAGGGGGATGTAAAACTCTATTAAGTAAAGGAACTTGCTAGCGCAAGTTAGGAAAGATATTAATAAACAATATATCCTCTCCTGCTACCCTGAACATTCCCACAGTTATCACTCGGCAGACAGTGAGGGTGGCACCCAACTTGTGTAACAATATGTTCCTTTATGTTATGGACAGTTAGCCATTAACAAAAAAAAGTCTGACTGTTTTCAAACCTTATGTCTGGCATTCAGCACCACAGCCAGGGGAGATTCTCTGTGTAAAAGCTGTGAAATTTTGCCCCAGGCTAGATCAGTAGATTTCAGGGCTGTTCACAGCATGAGAGAAAGGGAGAGTGGATTTAGCCTTGGGCTGTTTCTAAAGCACCCAGTGCAGTTGGCGTGCTGACTCCAAACGGAATCCAGAGTCAGGAATGGGCTGCTCAAAACAGGGACCAAGCACTCAGTTTTTCAAACTACACCAACACTCAAAATTCCAAGGAAACTGTACAGTGGTACCTCGGGTTAAGTACTTAATTCGTTCCGGAGGTCCGTACTTAACCTGAAACTGTTCTTAACCTGAAGCACCACTTTAGCTAATGGGGCCTCCTGCTGCCGCCACACCTTTGGAGCACAATTTCTGTTCTCATCCTGAAGCAAAGTTCTTAACCTGAAGCACTATTTCTGGGTTAGCGGAGTCTGTAACCTGAAGCGTATGTAACCTGAAGCGTATGTAACCCGAGGTACCACTGTACCTGGAAGTCTCACTACTAGAAGCGGGACACATGTAACAATATGCTAGCCATCTAAAAACAGTTTACCCTGAACTGTGTGTCAACTCTAGTTTTAGAATAAAGCGAGTTAACATATAAAGATGGTCAAGTTAATGACTGTTTCTCATATTTGACTTAACACTGAACAAATAATGGGGCAGTTAGAATCATAGAACTGTAGATTCAGAAGCTTATTTACTCCAGCAAGGAGTTTCTGAAATCTATATACTGGCTTAATACAACCCTGTTCCCATTTCAGTAAGTTTAGTTGTGCTGCACTGGGGTAAAGAAAACCAACTGTAGGGCCTGTTCCAACATCTCCAGAACCACCCAAAATGGGAATATTTGCCACAAAATTCCCTAGCAGATAACAGACACTTCATTCCTGTTAACACCATCCATCAAACTGTTGCACCGAAGGATGCAACACAATGTATTTCAAAGAAAGAGATAACTCCATTTCAATTGATTGCTTATTTGTGACCTAAAAAACCCCCTAAACAGATGTTTTTGGTTTAATACATTTTAATAGCTTATAACGGTAAGGTGCTTACAAAAAGTAAAGTATTGGTTGCATAAAGTTTCACATTTCAGTTTCAGTTGTGTGGGGGTTATACCCCTTCCCCGCAACGTCTGCGCTTGCAGGAGGACCCAGTTTGCGGCACATCCAGTGATGCTCCACGTTGCACCTTGAAACATATGCTTGGCCCTTATCACCCAGATATGCACAGTCGCCTCCATCGCCAAGTACCTCAAACCTGAAACGCAAGGTCAACGAAGCCGGTGTCAAGTAAGGGCTGAGCATTTCTCCAACAGCAACTGATAAGAGAGGTTATAGCAGTAGAATCACATAGGAAATAGGCAAATTTATTTCAAACAGATAGGCCATGTGTGGCCTCTAGAGTGGGGACTCTAGACCAGAGATGGGAAAACTCAGGTTCAAGAGCCAAATATGGGTCTTTGGGGCTCTCTCTGTCCCTTGGGAAGAAGAGTTTGGATTTGATATCCCGCTTTATCACTACCATAAGGAGTCTCAAAGCGGCTAACATTCTCCTTTCCCTTCCTCCCCCACAACAAACACTCTGTGAGGTGAGTGGGGCTGAGAGACTTCAGAGAAGTGTGACTGGCACTGGTCACCCAGCAGCTGCATGTGGAGGAGCGGAGACGCGAACCCGGTTCCCCAGATTACGAGTCCACCACTCTTAACCACTACACCACACTTGGGACTCATTCCAAATCATACTCCTCACTAGCCCTGCTTTGCACCCTCCCTTTTTTTTTTCCTTGGCTTGAATGTGTCTTTGCCCCCCAATAATATCTCTTGATTGCCTGCATGGAAGATAGAAAAAAGTGCGCATGTGTTTGCAGCAACTAGCTTATTCTACAAAGTGGAACTCACATTTGTTGTTTGCCCCACATTTAGACCCTCCAAGTGTCCGTAGTTTCCAGGGACAGACCCTGATTTACAGAAGCCGCCCCAGTTTCTGATTTGATCCTGGAATGTCCCACTTTTCCTTAGAACGTCCCTGTTTTCACTGGAGAAATGTTGGAGGGTATGGAGTTATGCGACCCCCAAGCCAAGGAGATAAGTAACTATTCAACCTTTAGAAGACATCTGAAGGCAGCCCTGTATAGGGAAGGTTTTTTTTAAAAGAATATTTAATGTTTTCTTATGCTTTTATATATGTTAGAAGCTGCCCAGAGTGTCTGGGTCGACCCTGTCAGATGACAACAACAACATTTAAACCCCATGGCTTCCCCCAAAGCATTTTGGGAAGTGTCGTTTACCCCACAGAGAGCTATAGTTCTCAGCACCCTTCACCCTTCAGAAAGAGCATTAGTCCTATTGGCACTGATCTTAACTGGAACATAAAAGGATTAACATGTATGGATATGCTTGATTCCACATGGAAAAAGAAATGGAGGAGTGCAACAGAACTCAAGAAAGGCAAGGAGCAGCTGAAACGGGTGAGGTTGCAGGTGTGGCCCAGGTTAGCATTTGGTGAACACTACTGGTAGTTTGGGGTGATGATGATGTTTCTCTGGCAGTGGCAGAGGCGGCAGGCAGCAGTGGCAGTGCAGGGCGGCACTTCCTGTTCTACCTCAAGTGGCAAAATGGGAAGTGGCACCTGTGTTGAAATCTCCTAACAGACAACCAGGCCAGAGGAGGGGGAGGAGGAGGAGGAGGAGGAGGAGGAAGAGGAGGAGGAAGAGGAGAAGGACGCACGTGGAATTTTCTCCATTTGTCCATTTCCAGGGCTGACCAGGGTCTCTCCTCAGGCCAATCCAGTAGGAATTTGTGCCTTTCCAACGCTTGACAATGTCCTTCAAATACCAGAAGAGATAGATGTTAGAGCCCTGACTTGCAATATTTTTCACCCAGTTCTATCTATCTATATTTCTGTTGCCTGCTGGAGACTTTTTTTCTTTTTCCGGTAGGCATTTTAATTGATGTTAGATTTTATAGTTTGACCTGATCTTCATTTTTCGTATTGTATCCTTGTAAACTGCTTAGAGACTATTGCAGTCACACGGCATATAGATTGATTGTTTAATTAAATAAATAAATGTCATTTTAACACACACACACACACACACACACACACACCCTTTATGCTAGTTAACTGTAACTCACTCACAGGCGTTTAGAATTAGCCAACAATTTTATAGTATGGCAAATGTTTGCCGCAGGGGGTCCTAAACTCAACATGATCCGCCCATGCCTTGCTTTGCATGTCACCCCAGAAAATATAATCAGTTACACCTCTCACCTTTTCATTGTTTGGAATAACAGCCAAGGAAGCATTAAATGACAAGCAGTATTCCTGGCTAGACATCCAGCTCTTTTCGTTATTGGAGAAGAAATAGCATATTCCCTCATACCAAAACCACAAAGGTGGACATGGTGGGATGCTGTGTGCAGGCAGAGCAGATTTTAGTTCAGAACCTGTCTCATTGCATTTTCTCTCGTTGGACCTCTCTGATGAAAAACAGAGGGATAAGATTAGCTGTTGCTGTAAGGGCTATCTGAATGAGCTTCGATGCATTCCAGAGAGCAAACAATGTGGTTTAGTATTTTCTTCCAACAAGCTATTTGCTAAAGCAAAGCATGGCAGCAGGAATATGGAAGGGGGGGAGGGAAGTCAATGATAAACCCACATTTTCTTTGATATGTGAAAATGTAAAAATTGAAAATTTATAGCCACTACTATGCTATAAGATCCATTATCCTGTAATATTACACTTGAGCCTGTACTACTGATAAGCCTAGGATGGCAAAACAAGGCTAATATTGTGGAAATCCTTGTCTTAGACTCTGTGAAAGGATTCTGTGGAACTGTAACAACCCTTCATGTGGATTATTGGACTCTATGAACAGACAGGTGGAATAGACACTTATACATGTATGGACCTTATTCATGAATTGAATAGAGAATGAACCAATCCACTGGGTCTTCTGCTTTTTTCGTTGAATTTTATGAGACTTCCGTTGTAACCTACAATTTGATACAATGAATAGCATACCATATTTATTCAAAAGTACAGCCAGTTACGTCTTGTGTGTTTATTGAGTATGTTTCACGTAACCATAGGCTTGTTGTTTTGCTTATCTGGAAAAAGTACAAGGCTTCTAAAACAACAACAACCCTCCAAAACACACCACTTTGTAGTGCCCCCCCCAATAAAGCTCACAAAAATAATATAACCTGACCTGAGAAGGACATTGAATGCTTAACGGACACTAAATTGCCCCCACCAAATTTGTCCATAGCACATAGTTACTCACCAGCTCTGGCCGTGGAATACATTAAGTCAGGGGGGGACATACTTTTCGTTATTTCTAAAATACTGAGCACACCCACCCACACAACCCAAGGGAACATACATCTGCTACAGTCAGAACCACAAGAATAAGAAGTGTGTTTGTATTGTACTGGGACCAGAGTGGAGCCTTGCATCATCCCAATCCTATACATGTCTATAAATGCCCCCAAGTCAAGCTTTAACCTTCTGCTGGAAGCCACCCAGAGTGGCTGGGGCAACCCAGTCAGAGGGGTGAGGTAATAAAATGATGATGATCATGCACTTTTACTGGGAGTGGAAAACAAATTTCAGTGCAATCAGCTGGGCTTACTTCTGAGTAAATGCATAGTTTTCTTAAAAGCATCAATATACCTGCACCTCTCAGCGCAGCAGGAAAAAGTAAGTAACTCCTTGTTGCTTCCGGAAGCAGCAGACACAAAATGAATGGAAGCCCAGGAAAAAAAGAAACAATCAGAGGAGCCAGAAAGAAGAGGCAAACCAATCAGGTGAGTCAGAAGCCCAAAGACTATTGAAGAAACTGTGGTTTGGTCTTTGGGCTGCTTCTCCAGCTGCTGCTGTTCTCTGTCCTCAGTCCTGCCACCAAGGGCAGAGAAACCCATGAGTTAGGGGGACACAACCCTTTTCCTGCTGACACTTCCCTGAAAAATCCCTACCCAAGGCCATTGTTTATCTGTGCACCCACTTCCATGCTAAAGGCGAACCCACATTCAGATGGGTACAAATAATAAAATTATTGCCATTATCATTTCCCCTATTTTGCCCTTTCCAAAGCTTCCCTCCCCACACACACACCAAGGAAGAGGGAGGCAACTTGCTGGGGAAAAGGGAGACCCATCTAACACAGCTCATTTCGTTTGTTCATTTAAGGTAGCAACAGTTTGGACAGCTTACCAATTCCAACACCAATTCCGATTCCGATTCCAAGGGCAGCAATGACAGAAAAAACAACGAATGCTTTTTTATTACCTGATGGACATTTGCAGCTCATCTTGTTAACTACAAGGGAAAACAAGCACAATCCTATGAGTGCTCCTGAGCCAAGGAAAGGAAAGGAGATGTACGTCTTGTCAGGGTCTCCACCAACCCACCACCCTATTCATCAAAGCCCTACCAAGAACCAAAGGTGAAGAAATCCATTTCAGCCAGTGGAACTGGAGGGGGAAGGGAGGGCAGTGATAGACAAGGGAGAAATCTGTGTCTGAGTGATGCCAGTGTGGCATAATGGTTAGAGCCTTGGACTGATCTGGGAGACTAGGGGTCAAATCCTCACTCAGCCATAAAGCTCACTGGGGGACCTTGAGCCAGTCACCATCTCTTAGCCCAAAGGTTTTCAACCTTGTTGAGTCCACAAAGGGCCATCTTAAGCATATCCGGCGTTGTGGTGCAAAGCTCCCTCAGGCGCCTGCCCCCACCCTGTTTCCCAGAGTTTTTTAGGGAGGAGGGTGCTGCTGGCGGGGCTGGAGGAGGTGGCCAGTGACTGGAGGGCTGCTTCTCCAGCGGGGAAGAGGGGGCTGGACGCAGTGCCTCCTGGCTCAGCTGGCAGCTTCGTGTTGCGGTCAGGGCCTTGCAGAGCCAGGCAGAGGTCTGGGCCAGGTAGATAATGTGCCCCCTTTTTTTACCCTGGGGGTAACTGAAGTCTTATAAATAAGTAAGTATATAAATAATTTTCAGAAACGTTATGCTGACAAATAATTTTATTTCAATGATTGACCATACCTGCATATAAAGACAAAATGGAAAATATAGATACCGTAAATATGCTGACCGAGGCCCCCTTTGGAATCGGAGGCCCAGGCCAAGTGGCACATATGCCACCCCCCACCCCCCGTCTGGGCCTGGCTGCGGTGGCCACAGCAGATGGAGGCTCTGGGTGCTGCCCTGCTTTGGCGAGGCATGGCGGAGCTGGGTGAGGGTGGCAAACTGGGGCTGGGAGGCGCCATGTCCAGCCTCCACCTCTTCCCTGGTGCTCTCCAGAACTTGGCAACCCGGCACCCCATGTCACTAGCCTCTATAGGTAAGGTGCTGGAGCTTAAAAATTAATATGCAATAACTTAAAGGGCGCAAGGAGATAGGATAACAACAAATATAAACAAATATAAACAGGGAGTAACGCAACAATAACAAAAATAATAGTAGGTGAATAAGATCACACACGGGTGGAGGGAAGCAATGGGTTTTGGAGGAGGGAGATGAGGGTATTAACTGAAATTGTTAAAGATATATACAGGATTTAGGAGATTCAAAATAAGGAATTAAAACAAGGAGACAAACAGCAAGAAATATTAAGTAAAGGAGTTGGAGAAGTCTGAAACAAGGAAGGAAGCGGCTTGGAGTTGTTGAATGTGTGCGTGGAGTTAATGTATCCTTGTGCCTCTGCACAAGCATACATTAACACAATTTAAAACCCAAACCCAGATTCTGAACAAGATTTTTAAAAAAATCCTCCCCAGAAGGCTTGTTTAAAGTCTTTATTGCAGGTGAGGCAGAAGGTGGCATGGGATGGGAAGCTGCTTGAGGTAGCAGCTACACTGTGGCAAGGGTATGCCTCAACATGAACTACTAGGGACTTTCCAATTTTAGCCCTGTGGGCAAATTCACACCATAAAACCAGCGCTATTTTTCTAGAAATGAACACCTCCCTCGTTCTCTTGGAACTGGCAATGGCCCCCACCTGAGAGGAGCCAGAACTGTGTTCAAAATGCATCCAGTCCGGGTCGGATTTAGGTTTGATGAGGCCCTAAGCTCCTGAAGGTCCAAAGTGTTGGTACAGATATGACTTTGGAATAGTTTTTTGTCCTTGTCCCCCCCCCCCTTTTTGTTATCTTTAGGTATATAAACTTTGTATATAAATTTTGTATACATGTTGAAAATTATATGATAATAAGCATTGTATTGTAATATGATATTCTTTACCCATGTAACGTAAGAACGTTAATAAATAAATAAAATACAAAAAAAAAACAAAAAAAAAAACCAACCCTCCCATGTTCTCTTATAATGGCACCAACCTAAGAGGTGCCGGAACTGAGTTCTGGCTGAAAAAAAGCCTTGCTATCAGCGTTGACACCTGCCTTGATTTTACAGTCCCTTATACCAGTTTACCCCACATGGCAATTTCAGTTAAGTGAATCAAAGAAAGCAGAGAAGGTGATGAAGTCCTCCTAGCGGTGAAGCAGCAATGAAACTACTGGCATATCTGCAAAGCTAAGCAGCGTCCAAGCCTGTTTGAAATTGGTCGAGGGACCACGTGTTGAGATTTCTGCAATTCAGGAGGTTGATGTCCTGCGGGGACTCTACAATTCCATGATTGACAGTGAGGAAAACAGTATGGGTTAAGGGTTAGCCGCCACCTTGGCACACATCCAGCTTCTTTAAAGAAACAGCTCTCCATGCTCTACAGACTGAAGATCTCTGGAACAACCCCTGGTGTCTCCAGGGTAATGAATAACAGAGGGCCATCCAGTCCAACAGCCTGCAATACAGGAATTTGCAGCAATCCCACACGGGGATCAAACCTGCAAGCTTGACATTATCAGCACCCCGCTCTAACCAACTGAGCCACCCAGGGATATTCTTACTGGTCAGTGTATTTCTATCCCGCCTTTCTCCGAAGTTGGGATTCAAGGCGGCTGCCAACATCTCAAAACGCGATTATAAAATGCAAAGCAATAAAATGAAAACTAGTTAGGAAACAGCAGTCAGGAGATATGAACGCGCGTGCAAGAACCAGCACCTAAAATGCAACAGCGACCAGAGGAAGCAGGAAAAAAGATCAGAAGGAAACCCTCTTCCCTCCAGCCCCCGCTTCCGAGCCTGAAGGTGCGCTTGACAGCCCGGGGTCGCCCGCCTCCGGGATTTTGCGCGAGGGATTCCGCCGCATACCTGAACTTTCGCTCGCTCTGTGCAACTGAAGCGGGTCGGTTCTTTCTGCAAGCGGAGTCTTCGCTCTGAGATCTCTCGTCTTCCTCCACCGAGCCGAGCTCGTCCTTAGCAGAGTTAGGCAAAACCAACCCGCATACCTCGAGTCTGCAGAAGCCGCGCGCCGGTTACAACCGCCCGCGGTGAAGCGCAGAGAAAAGTGTGAGAGAGGTTTCGCTTTTAGACGATGACGCTCAGCCATTGGGGGGGGGGCGGGGACCGGAGGCTTCTCTCCAACCCAGAACCAGAGACGTAGCGCAACCCCGTGGTTCACGTCGGGAGAGAGGTGGTGCAGGTGCCTCGACAGGTAGCCTCTCTGATTCCGGGACTGAAGGGCGACTGGCTGGCAAGACCACTATGGGGGCCGCTCCTTTAGGGGTGGGAAGGAGGGTCAGTGTAAGTAAGTAAGTAAGTAAGTAAGTAAGTAAAGAAAGAAAGAAAGAAAGAAAGAAAGAAAGAAAGAAAGAAAGACAGCCACAGCCCATCCAAATTGAGGGAGTACGTGGTGCAGTTCTGTTCGGTGGTCCGTGCTCGGAACGGAACCCCCCAACCTAGTCTAGTTCGTCGAGTGGGGTCGCCTGTGCTCAAAGTTGCTGAAAACTCTTCTTCTTGTTTAGTCGTTTAGTCGTGTCCGACTCTTCGTGACCCCTTGGACCAGAGCACGCCAGGCACTCCTGTCTTCCACTGCCTCCAGCAGTTTGGTCAAACTCAAGTTGGTAGCACTCCTTATATACTCAATCATGCATTGCGTTTTTCGCGGCGGGGAGGGACCCACCACAGACCCCATGTCATCTGTATTGGACCAGATTTTTTTTCATATAACAAATTGCTTTGTTTTGTATATTTAGTTGTGTTCGCTGCTGGTGTTTTTATTGCCAAAGCACTTAAATATATTTAATAGGAAGTGTGTGTGTGTGTGTGTGTGTGTGTGTGTGTGTGTGTGTGTGTGTGTAACAAATAAATTGTATTATTTGTCCTACAGTCTGTATTAAACTGTTCAAAGCAAGTCTGACCAGCAAGTAAAAATGACATATGTAGCAGGTGACTTATAGCATAGCCATACCGTTTACAAGATGCTTAAACAATTTTGCAATTAGTTTGCAAAATGGGAAGAGGGGAAAAAAAAAAACCCTCGTGTTTTTGAGCTGCTCCCCAACGGAGTAACTGACACAACACAGCGCAAAAATGAGCACAAACCTTTGGCATCGGTTTGGAGGGGATCCAAAATCTCGGGGCTACACTTTAAACACTTTAAATGAAGGTTAGCTGCTGTATTTGTAACCCGTGGGGAAATGTGTCTTATAACTAGAAGGCTATGGAAGTTATTTGCATTTGGGGAGAGTGCATGCATATGCAAATTCATTTCCCGTGGGGTGGTTGGTGTTTTTGCCAAGGAGAATCAGGCTTCTACCAGCAGTGAGCGAATCTCTCACCGGAGAAGGGAGCATTTACTTTACAAAGACTCACCCGCGCCTGTTCAGACGCATTTTGTCCCTAGAACCTTTAAGAATAAAGAAAAACTTTGCTCCCCTGGAGAAACCAAGAAACGACCACTGCTTTTAATTTCCATAATATTCGGAGGTGGAGGAAACGGGAAAATCGCATGAGGTCCGAGACCCACATTTCAGTGGCGGATAACACGATTTACATATACATAGGTAGCCGTGTTGGTCTGCCATAGTCAAAACAAAAAAATTCCTTCCTTCCAGTAGCACCTTAAAGACCAACTTACATAGCCGCCTCCCCGCCCGCTGCAAGAGTTTGTGACACTGGAAAACGAGTCCCAAAATGCAGGCAGCTGCTGGTTGATTGACAAACACACTTTCACACTCCAAAGAGCAGCACTTCACAGCACAAACGACAATATTGAGCTAATTGGGAACGCCGTGCTTGCAATTCTGCCCACTGGCCCCAACGAATTCTTCGAGGGTGCTTATGTCTGACTGTATAGTTCCATCGTTTAAAAGCAAATAAAGAAACTTACAGGATCCCTCCCTTTTCTGGAGTACAGTGGTACCTCGGGTTAAGTACTTAATTCGTTCCGGAGGTCCGTTCTTAACCTGAAACTGTTCTTAACCTGAAGCACCACTTTAGCTAATGGGGCCTCCCGCTGCTGCCGCGCCGCCGGAGCACGATTTCTGTTCTCATCCTGAAGCAAAGTTCTTAACCTGAAGCACTATTTATGGGTTAGCAGAGTCTGTAACCTGAAGCGTATGTAACCTGAAGCGTATGTAACCCGAGGTACCACTGTATTGCAAGATTGTCTGATATTTTTTTTTAGCAAAAAGGTCCAGGTTACATTTCGCCAGACTGAAGATCTTTTGTTAAGGCTCCATCTATTTTGCAAACCTGAGACTGTTCTTATTCACTCCACCCATACCTTAAGATCCTCGGGAGCGTTACAACAATTTAAAATTCAATACTGAAAACAAATTACTATCACGGAATAGGGTGGGTCCTAAAAACGTCTCTCTCAGGCGTCAAATCCAGTCTTACTACCAACGCATGAACTACCGATTTGATTCAATATTTGCATTCCCCTTTTCCAACCCCAAATTTGAGCTCAAAGTGGCTCATAATAACAAGTGCATTTAAAAAAGTAACAAAGGTTGCAATACCTGGAATCAGGTTAAAAGCACAACAGCAGAATAATCAGGCCAAATAAGCAAACTCATCAAACCATTAATACAATCCAGTACAAATTCATACAATCCTCAAAATCTCAGGAATGGCTGCGGATGAATGATCGCTCTCACTATTCTTCCTGCAGAAGGTAACTAACCTGAAAAGCCAATGAGTTTTTAAGGATCGGGGCGGCGGCTTTTTGGGGGGTAAGATTTGTACAGGCGATGTGTTTAAAATGACTGCTGAGCGGATAAAGAGGTTGGTGTGGGCCGTGCGCTGCGGGTTTACATAATTTAGGACAGCAGCAGAACAAGGAAAGGAAGGAGGAAACCGCATTACCATCGGCAGCAGCTATAACCCCAATAAAGAGTGGTGGCAGTTTATCTAAGAGTATATAGTACAGTAAAAAACCACTTCCGCATGTGAGAGTCTTTTTTAAAAAAATAATTTTTATTGAGTGATTTTATGTCACAAAAAGCATTACAACCATACTACCACAAAATATAATTGAGAAATTAAAATTACATACATCAATATTTTGTTTGTTATTTACGGTCTTCTTTCCTCCCAAACATTCCATACGAAACACACCTCGGCACACAAACAGAAAATAATAATACTAATAATGAAAATAATGAAAATAAATATTTCCCCCCTTATATCTTACAAAATCTTTTCTTCATTTTTGAATTCCTGTCAAGTCCCTTCGCATATGTTTTAACTTACAATTGAACGTACACAAAACAATAAACCTTTCTATATAAATTTTCCAATACATCCAGAAAACATAATAAATCCTTAATTGTTATCCACCTGCTTTTACTTCGTTTGTCACTCAAAAGCTAGCACGGAATCAAAACCGTTATTGAACATATCTTCTATAACCATCCCATTTCCCCCAAATTTTTGCTTTGAGTTTCCTCTGAGTTTGCTAGTCAATTGAGCCATCTCTACAAATTCCTGTAATTTAATTTGCCAATCTGTTATCCAAAAATAACAGATCCGCATGTGAGAGTCTATGTTAGCCTGGAAATCTGGGTTCAGGTCCCAGCTCAGTCGTAGAATTACGACCGGCAACAGTCAGAGCAGGGGTTTGGCATGCAAAATCAGGGACCCTTATTCTCTCTGAGCTGCTTCCAACAAATCAAAACGAATTAAACCCCAAACCAACCTTTTATTAAAAGAGATGGATCAGCAAAGCTTCGAGGATTAGTCACCTCGCCACACTTCACTTCCCATTGTTGTTAGTCATAAAGCCATTCTTACAAATATTGCAACAGGTTATGATTTGGTGAAGGACAGTAACAACCTTGCAAAATATACAATTTATATTTATTTTATTTTCCCTTCTACACGGATTCTGTTTCTCTCTCTGGGAGCCAGTGTGGTGTAGTGGTTAAGAGCGGTAGACTCGTAATCTGGGGAACCGGGTTCACGTCTCCGCTCCTCCACATGCAGCTGCTGGGTGATTATTTACGTCTGGCCATGTTTAGTGCACATATAATTATGTATTTTTTGAACGTTCAATAAAGGGGGGGGAGCCATTCTGACTCCAGATACTTTTTATTGTGGGGGGGGGGGAGGGGAGGTTCACTCTGCCGTTGTATCTGCCGTTTGAGACCACGTTTGCGAAGGGAGAGCTAAGAACTGTTTAAAATGTTACAGTTGAAAATGTCTTTGTTTCCTAGCCACACTGACGCTTTTCTAATACGGTGTGGAAAACAACACAACTGGCATGTGATCAGCTGAATGAAGTATCCGGAAATCACCTCGAATGGATGGACTGGTGACCCCCTTCCTTTTCACCTGTTCCCCCATGACAATAATATTGCCAGCATCACCACTATCCCCCCTACTCTGCCCCTCCATAGAGACCCCCCCCCCAATCCCAGCCCAGATGACAACAATTCACCCTCTCCACTCCCCAATCACCCCAACAACCCCCACTCTCAGCCCCCCTCCCAAGGACTCTACCCATAGCACGTTGCCTCAGGAGAGTGAGGAAAATTCTCAGGGATGGTTCACACCCTGGCCGGCACTTTCTTGATCTCCTTCCCTCAGGCAGAAGACATAGAAGCATGATAAGTCACACCAGCAGGGTAAAGAACAGCTTCTATCCGTGGGCTGTTAGGCTGCTGAATGAAAAGATCACAACAGGGCAACGGACTTTCGGGTTTGGTGGGTGTGCGTCAGTAAAGGAGGGGAATTAAGACTAAGAGAGCTGAGTGGGGGGGGGGGTGCCCGTGTAATCTCACTGTATACAAGTTGCACAAGTGACAATAAAGTATTTCAAAAAGAACCACCACACTAGCTCCGCCCACATGTTGGAGGGGTGAGACTGGCTCCGCCTCTGGACGGGAGTGGGACTGGCTCCGCCCCATGTGGGAGGGGTGTGACTGGCTCCGCCTCTGCACGGGGTGGGGGTGGGACCGGCTCCACGGGGTTGGGCTGGCTCCGCCCCCGTGTGGGAGGGGTGGGACCGGCTCTGCCCCTGGGTGAGATTGGGAGTGGGGCTTGATCCTCCCCTGTCAGTGGGAAGTACAAGATCGCGTCGGAAGGAGCGGGCGATGGCGGCAGTGCTGGTGCCAGAAGGATCCGGACGTGAAGGCAACGGGGGCGCACGGCGACGAGGAGGCTTCTCCGAAGCCTTCCTCCTTCTGCTGCTGCTGTCCTGCCCGTCGACGCTGGCGGACGGTTCGGGTTCGTAGCCGATTGAGATGTGAGGGGCCCCAGGATGGGGGTCAGGTTGGGAAGTGTCCGGTTGGCACCGTGGCGGGGGCAGGGGGGGGGTTTAAAGCCCTGCCGCCCTTCATAGTCCTGATCGGAGGCTTCCCTCCGCCGCAGAAAACTCTCTCCCACTTGCCCCGCCCCCTCCACTGCTAGACTCTTCTGGAGCGGCTGTCATGCACAGGCAACGGCTTAACACAAAAGTGGCTGCCATGAAAAGTGTGGCATAACACCAAATTAAAGAGAGAGAACCCCACCCCACCAAAAAACGGATGCATACCATGGGACGTTAACTATGCCCTGCTCGTCCTAATAGTAGCTATCTCTCCCTCACACACACCGATGTTGTTACTGTCGAATAGCAACATGAAGCATAACTCAATACCAGAAAAAATGCACGAGGAAGCCACTCTTGCTTCTCAGAAATCTCTTAGACATTACCAGCAGCATAACCATCTTTCTAGGAGGGATAGAGGGTTTTTCTTTTTTAAAAAAGGTCCAGCATCTAGGGAACCTGCTCACTGGAACCCTTCAGGGCTTCCATGTATCCACGTTCACTGCCTTGGTGACTCCTGTCCTGTCCCAATGGGTTTTGGAATCCTGGCATCTTTGGGATTCTCTAGGGTTGAGTCCACATGAGGATGGTCTGTGGCCAAAGGATGATGGGATCCAGTAAGTTTCCAAACTGCCTTCAGGGACTTTGGTCAACAAGTGCAATATGACCTTTACCAAATGTGCAATTGCAAAGGTGCCATTTTTTGTATGGTGTAATGATATCCTGCCTCTCTCAAGATGTGAGATCTAATCTGTCTGGTTGGTGGTAGAATTCTATTAATGGATTGCCCTCATTTTCTTCCAGGTTCCACACCCTGCCCTTCTGCTAACGTCTCCATAGCAGAAGGTTCATCTGGGATTATCTTTGCCAATGTTTTCCAGAAATACAAATATTCTTTTGTTTCATAACAGCAGCTTGTCTGATCCTAATGGTGACATATTAGCCATAACTAAAGGGAAAATGGATATCTTAAATAGCACATACAATGGACACTTCTCTGTACAGGAAAATGCCCTCATTATCAAGAACACCAGCAAACAGCTTGCTGGAGAATACCAATTTGCTAATTATATGAAAAGGATTTGTGTGCATCGAGTCTTCCTTAGCGTACCTGGTAAGGTTCTGAAGTTACTGTCATATGGATTCACCACTGGGGGTGGGGTGGGGGTGGGGGAAGAGGTCGGGGTGAGGAGGGCTGCTTGCTTTAATTTATTTTTGGTTTGCATTTGTTCCTTTTATTTATTATTATTATTATAATAATAATAATAGAATTTACTACCCACACTTCTCCATAAAATCTCAGGATAGGTTTTTTTAAAAATTAAAAATAATAATATTCTATTATAAGAATTTCATTTATTAAAAGATAGAGCGAGAAAGAAAGAGAGTTGAAATGAAAAAGAAAAAAGTAATAAGATAGTAAGAATATACACACCTGTATATTAATGTATGGTAATGTAAGAGTACAGATCTTAGGGTAGTTTACAACAAAACAAAAATACATTATTTCTTGCATCGTATTATTATATCATGCTTCCCGAATTTTTTGATAGCTACTCTTGCCCTATTTTAAATTAACACATCTTTTTTCACTTCTAGACCCTAGGCACAGCCCTTCAGCTAATCTTTCCATACCAGAAGGTTCCTGTGGGACGATCATTCCAAATATATATTTATGTCTCATCATGTTTAGTGCGCATATAATTATGTACTTTTTGAACTTTCAATAAAGAAAAAAGAAAGCAACTATGCCTTGATTTATGTTTTTTTAGGGGGGTTGAGGGGAGGTCATGCCATTGTCTCGCAAGACAGATGGATGACAACAACATAGAAAAAAGTTCCAGTGGATTCAGTAGAACTTGTTTCCCTTGGGTGGGACTTATTTAACACAATTTAAATTCTGATATCCTTTTCTAAGTGTCTCCCTGTCACAATCTCTTTCTCTCTCACACACACACTGTGCAAATGTTCAGGGTGGCAGGAGAGGATATATTGTTTATTAATATCCTTCCTAACTTGTGCTAGCAAGTTCCTTTACTTAGCAGAGTTTACAGTCCCCTCTTTTTTACATGCACAACAGATAGCTGGTTGCAGGCTTGTGTAAGGTTGCAGGCTCTCACTCTTTTACAATTCAGCGTGTCAGACTGAATGTCAGACTGTCAGACTGATTTGTATGCTCCTGATAAGTTCCCTTGATTCCCTCTTAAAAGAATAAAGACACCACAATTCTATTCAAAGTCAATAAAAGAAATTTACTTACATCAGGCAGAGCACAGTGTGATCCCTGAAGGCAGACTTAGTTACAAATATGTACGTGTGGATCGACCCCATAGGGAGGAATGATACCAGTGCCTCTGCTAGCTGAGAAGCTAGCAGGGCAATCCTAGCTCAAAGCTAGCCAAACGTAGAAGGAAGTGAAAAAGAGAGAGTGTGCTGCATGACTTGTCCTTTTGTTACCTGGACAGGTTAAGTCATGTCCACCTCCTATCACATGCAAAAGGAAGGATGCTCCAGCCAGGAAGAACAAGTTTCGACTGGCTGGACCAAACCTTCCCTCGCATGTCTTCTCTAGCATTACAAGGAATGTTGTACTTGACTGCTCCGAGTGGATTACATTCCACAGTCTGGAAATCTGGGTTCACGTCCCATCTAAGTCATAGAATTACTACTGGCAACAGCCAGAGCAGGAGTTTGGCATGCAAAATTAGAGTCACATATCTGACTGAGTTACCCCAGCCACACCAAGCTGCTTCCAACAAATTAAAACAAATTGAGACTCAAACCAACCTTTTCTTAAAAGAGATGGATCAGCAAAGCTTCCAGGATTAGTCACCTCACCACACTTCACTTCCTATTGTTGTTAGTCATAAAGACATTCTTGCAAATATTGTAACAGGTTAATATCTGACGAAGTAGAATAACAACCTTGCAAAATACAGTGGTACCTTTGGTTGTGGACGGGATCCGTTTCGGAGGTCCGGTCGGATCCTGAGGTTTCTGCAAACTTCTGTGCATGCGTGCGTGGTGAAGCCTGGTCAGATACTTCCAGGTTTGCCCTTTCACATCCCAAAGTTTACGTAACCAGAGGGTTACGTAACCGGAGGTACTACTGTATACAGTTTTTTTTGGGGGGGGGCAATTTATTTCCCTGTCTACGCAGGTTCTATTTCCTCTTTTTCTTTTTCACCCTTTTATTTACATAACACCATGTATAGCACACATATCATTATGAACTTTTTGAACTTTCAATAGAGAAAAAAAAAAAGCCATTCTGCTTTCAGGTACTTTTGGGGGGCGGAGGGGAAGTCACGTCATTGTCTCTCGAGACAGACGGATGCCGACAATGGCAACATAGAAAAAAGTTCCAGTGGATTCAGCAGAACTTGTTTCCTTTGGGTGGGACTTATTTAACAAAATTTAAATTCCAATATATTTCTCTTAGTGTCTCCCTATCGCTCTCCTTCTCTCTCACACACACAACTCGAGGAAGCCCCCCCCCTCAAAATAAGGACCAGGGAAACAGGGTTCAAATCCCTACTCTGCCATGAAGCTCACTGAATGACCTTGGGCCAGTCCTTAGGTATCAGACCACCTTGCTGTGTATAGAGTTGTCATGAGTATAAGATGGGGAGGAAAGGATGGATGAAATGAAGGGCCGTGAGGGCAGACCAAAGGGCCGACCAAAGTTGTTCACCTTTTTATAATATTTTTTATTAATTTTAACATATAAATTATAAAATGTACCACAAAACTTATCACTTATACGATCTTTTTGGACTTCCATCAGCACCTCTGATGATCCACCGTTTTAACCACTTCTTATGCATTTCTTAACTTTATATTGCCTTTACATCTCTTAACAAATCATCCTCCCCCTTATCCATTTTTACAATGCTTCTGATACGGAAGGGGGGCATGTCTTCTTCACCCCTTCCACCGGTCACCAGAGGGTCCGAGGCGATGACCTCAAGGGCACCCGGCCCTACATGGACCCCTCAGCCCCCACACCGTTGCACAAGCACCACACTTAACCCCAAGCCCCATAAATAAAAGTGCCTTTCTCCCTTCCCTACGCCCATTCGTTATCACGAACAAACCTTTCTATATAAATTTTCCAATACATCCAGAAAACATAATAAATCCTTAATTGTTATCCACCTGCTTTTACTTCCTTGGTCACTCAAACGCTAGCACGGAGTCAAAACTATTATTGTATATTTGACACATATCTTTTATAACCATCCCATTTTCCCGCAAATTTTTGCTTTGAGTTTCCTCTGAGTTTGCTAGTCAATTGAGCCATCTCCACAAATTCCTGTAATTTAATTTGCCAATCTGTTATCCAAAAATAACAGATCCGCATGTGAGAGTCCATGTTAGCCTGGAAATCTGGGTTCAGGTCCCAGCTCAGTCGTAGAATTACGACCTGAAACAGTCAGAGCAGGGGTTTGGCATGCAAAATCAGGGACCCTCATACTCTCTGAGCTGCTTCCAACAAATCAAAACGAATTAAACCCCAAACCAACCTTTTCTTAAAAGAGATCAGCAAAGCTTCCAGGATTAGTCACCTCGCCACACTTCACTTCCCATTGTTGTTAGTCATAAAGCCATTCTTACAAATATTGCAACAGGTTATGATCTGGTGAAGGACAATAACAACCTTGCAAAATATACAATTTATATTTATTTTATTTTCCCTTCTACACGGATTCTATTTCTCTCTCTGGGAGCCAGTGTGGCATAGTGGTTAAGAGCGGTAACCTCGTAATCTGGGGAACCGGGTTCACGTCTCCGCTCCTCCAGAAGCAGCTGGGGCCAGTCACACTTCTTTGAAGTCTCTCAGCCCCACTCACCTCACAGAGTGTTTGTAGTTGGGGAGGAAGGGAAAGGAAAATGTTAGCCGCTTTGAGACTCCTTACAGGGAGTGAAAGGCGGGATATCAAATCCAAACTCCTTCTTCTTCTATTTACGTCTGGCCATGTTTAGTGCACATATAATTATGTATTTTTTGCACTTTCAATAAACGGGGGGGGGGAGCCATTCTGCCTTCAGATACTTTTTATTGGGGACCGGGAGGGAAGGTTCACTCTCCCGTTGTATCTGCCGTTTGAGACCACGTTTGCGAAGGGAAAGCGAAGAGCTGTTTAAAATGTTACAGTTGAAAGTTTCTTTGTTTCCTAGCCACACTGCCGCTTTTCTGATACGGTATGGAAAACAACACAACTGGCATGTGATCAGCTGAATGAAGTATCTGGAAATCACCTCGAATGGATGGACTGGTGACCCCCTTCCCTTTCACCTGTCCCCCCATGACATTAATATTGCCAGCATTACCACTATCCCCCCACTCTGCCCCTCCACAGAGACCCCCAATCCCACCCCAATCCCAACAATTCACCCTCTCCACTCCCCAATCAGCCAACAACCCCCACTCTCAGCCCCCCTCCCAAGGACTCTACCCATAGCAGTTGCCTCAGGAGAGTGAGGAAAATTCTCAGGGATGGTTCACACCCTGGCCGGCACTTTCTTGATCTCCTGCCCTCAGGCAGATGATACAGAAGCATGATTAGTCGCACCAACAGGGTAAAGAACAGCTTCTATCCGTGGGCTGTTAGGCTGCTGAATGAAAAGATCACAACAGGGCAACGGACTTTCGGGTTTGTGGGTGTGCGTCAGTAAAGGAGGGGAATTAAGACTAAGAGAGCTGAGTGGGGGGGGGGTGCCCGTGTAATCTCACTGTATACAAGTTGCACAAGTGACAATAAAGTGACAATAAAGTATTTCAAAAAGAACCACCACAAAAACAAAAATAGACAAACACCCCCGCCAACCTCACCGTCTCTTTCTTCACCACATAAAAGCAACAAATAAAACCAGTGGGTAGAAGAAAAGGAAAACAAAGGGGGGAAAACCCCATACCAACTAAAACAATACTCCCGATCTCAATAAAACAATTCACAAACAGGCTAGAATCTGACACACAACCAGCACAATGGTGATGCCAGAGCGTACCAAAACCCATATCCCTATCCCAACAAACCAATAACGTTGTTGACAACACTGACAACATTGCTTATAAACCTTATGCCCATCACAAAGGTGCTTAACACGTCTCACTGACCATTCCCTATCACAAACGACAGAGAGAATGGCCTGTTCTTAAACAAGGTCTCCCATGCCAGCTGAGACCCAGGACTAACTGGCCAAGTTAGATGCTCCAAATTACCCCAGACAAACACCTATATAGGCTACTTTCTATAATCTAGCCCTACTCTTTAACCGAAATCTAATTCTAACCCCCCTCTTTCCCCACCCATCACACTTTATTCCAGTGCAACAAAATAGGTTTGATAGACAATCTAAGGGGAGAGACACAGGGCAACCCAGACGGGTTGGCAGGGAATCATCCTATAAAGCAGACACGCAGAAAGGCTAGCTTAAAAGAAATTGTACACTAAACGTGAAGGGGTTGGGAAACCCTATCAAAAGAAAATAGCTCCCTCAGGATACCTCCCTTGGAAGGTTCCAAACAAGTGTGTGCGTCCTCTTCAAAGCTATCGACGATCCGTTCCCAGGCCAGGGGCTCCTTTATAAAGTAATTTTATTACATATTTTCTTGGTTTAAGAAAGCACACAGGTCCGTTCTTAACCTGAAACTGTTCTTAACCTGAGGAACCACTTTAGCTAATGGGGCCTCCCGCTGCCGCCGCGCTGCGATTTCTGTTCTCATCCTGAAGC